TCTCGAAATCTACAGCTCAAACAATCCTCCTGCCTCAGCCTCCTGAGTAGCTTGAGACTACAGGCATGTGCCACCACTCAAGGCTAATTTTTAACTTTTTTTAAGAGATGGACGGATCTTGCTATGTTGCCCAGGTGGGTCTCAACTCCCGGCCTCAAACAATCCTCCTGCCTCAGCCTCCTGAGTAGCTGGGACTACAGGCATGTGCCACCATGCTCGGCTAATTTTTTAAATTTTTTTAGAGATGGTGGGGGGCGAGTCCTGCTAGCTCAGGCTAGTCTCAAACTCCTGGCCTCAAGTGAGTCTCCCACCTCGGCCTCCCACAGTGCTGGGGTTACAGCTGTGCATCCTAAATGCTTACTGTCTGCCTCCTCATCCCCCCACTCTATTATTTCTCTAGACCATGGGTCTTCTTCTAACTGTATGCCTTACTTTTTGTGGTTATTTTGTGAGCTCCTGGCGTTGGAGGTCTTTGCAACCTCCCATTTGCTGACGGACTCATGTACCCAGCCATGGCCTGCAGCAGGGGTCAGGAAACGTCTGTGAAATAAATGAACCCGTCCGGTGTGGCACGGCCTCCCCTCTGTCCCTGTCCTCCTGTCGTCCTCTCTCCTTCTCTCCAGCCGGGTCTCCCTCCCATGCGGCACCACCCTCTCTGTGATGTGTTTTGCCTTCTCTCGCCCCAGCCGCCCTGCAAATAAACTGCGTCTGGCACTCAGATCCCAGTGCTGCTGCGAGTCTGTCTGCTCGGGAACGAGAAGGGGAGTTTGCATCAGAGGGCGTGTGGAGGGGGGCGGGAGGTGCAGAGGTGGAGAGACAGAGACAGAGAAACAGAGAGCAGGGAGAGATGGAGAGAGACAGAGACACACACACAGAGAAACAGAGAGATGGGGGAGAGAAAAAGAAGGAGAGATGCAGATAGAGAAACAGACACCCAGAAAAAGAAACAGGTGGAGGAAGAGAGAGAGAGAGTGTCAGCGAAACAGAGAGACACAGACACATACAGAGGTAGAAAGAGAAACGGGGAGAGAGAGAAACAGAGAGATGGAGAGAGACAAACACACAGAGAGAGAGAGAGATGCAGACAGAGAGAGAAAGACAGAGAGGGAGAGAGAGAGAGACGGAGGGGCGAGGATGAGCCGCCTGAGCTCATGGTGCTGCCTGAGCCTCCCCGCTGTCCTCTAGGGTGTCCTGGCGGCAGCCTCCCCACTGTCCTGTAGGGTGTCCTGGCGGCAGAGCTGTGGGCAGGAGGGAGTGAGCCACTTGCTTCTAAGAATCCCTTTCCTTTACCAAAGTGTGTGTGCTAACAATGGAATGAAAAATACGGTCCTCAAAGCTTCCATCAAGGAACTCTATATGCATGTGTGGATAAGTGTGTGTGAGTGTGTGTGTGTAAGAGTGTGTGAGAGTGCATGAGTGGGAGTGTGTGCGCATATGTGAGCGTGCGCGCATATGTGAGCGTGCACATGCGTGCAAGTGTGAATGTCATGGGACCATGAGTATGTGTGCACCAGTGTGAGTGTGCATGTCTCTGTGTGTGCGCGTGTGTGCAAGTGAGTGTGCGTGAGTGTGCGCATGTGTGCAAGTGTGAATATCCTGTGTGCATGAGTGTGTGCATGTGTGTGAGTGTATGTGCATATATGAGTGCAAGTGTGCACATGTGTGCAAAGTGTGTGTGGTGTATGCATGTGCATGTGTGAGTACAAGTGTGCACATGTGTACAAGTGTGACGGTCATGTGTGAGCACGAGTATCTGTGCACCAGTGTGAGTGTGCATGTGTCACCACGAGTGTGTGTGCATGTGTGCAAGTGTGTGTACATGTATGTGTGCACATATGTGCAAGTGTGACTGTCATGTGTGAGCATGAGTATGTGTGTGCCACTGAGTGCATGTGTCTCCACGAGTGTATGTGTGCACATGTATGAGTGTGCGCATGTGTGCAAGTGTGAATGTCGTGGGTGAGCATGTGTACGTGTGTGTGTGTGCATGTGTGCAAGTGTGTCATGTGTGAACATGAGTATGTGTACACCAGTGTAAGTGTGCATGTGTGAGCATGAGTGTGTGCACGTGTGTGAGTGCATATACATGTAAAGGAGGGAGGATGGGGTTGTGTCTCACTGCGCGTGGATGATAATACGGCTTTGTGCCTGTTGTGTGTCCATGAGCATCCGAGCTTGTGTGTGCTGACGTACTTGTGTGTATGTGGGGTGAATGTGACTCGCAATGTGTGGACATCGGATCCGTGTGTGTGCGCGCACATGCCTGTCAATGTGTAGCCAGGGTGAGAAGGTCACGCAGGCGCCGCGGGCGGGCGCTGCCTGGGCCCTCTGTCCTTCGCACCTTCCTCCTCTCTCCCCGGCCCCTGCTTGGCAGCTGCCCTGTTTGCAAACACTCAGTCTTCCTCTTGGCACCCTCCTTGGCCTCAGGCCCAGAGCGAGGCTACAACTCGGAGCTGGATCGTGTGTCACGCACTCCCTGGCCCCTGCATATCCCGCAGGGCCCCTGCTGTGGCCACGGAGGTGTTGCCTGGAGCAGGACTGACAGCAGGTGTTCTCCTGTGGAGTGACCCCAAGGAGCCTTTGAATCCAGGTTCAAGCCGTAGCGCTGGGCCTCTGACCTGGACAATCCGGGTGAGCTTCCTGGAGTAGGGATCATAGGAGAGAAGAAGACAGGTGTCAACAACGGGAGTGGGGGAGTGGGGGGTGGGGGTGGAATATTTCAAGACCTCCTGCCCCTTTATCTGTGAATGTGAAATAACCTGA